GTATATGTACCCTGGTCTAGTAGTAGGCACAATCTGTCCTGTATTCGTCCTGATGATAGGAGTCGCGACTGTTGATGATCTGGGTGCGGCAATATTAGCAACCGCGGCAGGTCCTCGCGGTACGTGGTACGTGGCTGGCATACTGACGGGATGTGACGAAATTTGTGCTTGCGGTGGGTTTTGCCTCTCCACGGTAGTTAACATTTCTGGTGATATTATTTTTACTGTAGGTCCTAAAGAACATAACTAGAAGCGGTGGATTTGGTATTAATAAATCTATCACAAAATGCATGTATGGTCGTTTTAAAGCGTTTGACAAGTAACTCTTTCCCACATTTATTATTAAGATACCCTATATAAAATGTTATTTTACTCGGCACATTTAATACTGAATGTTCGAAATAAAATTTTACTACTACGAGGTTTAAAATAAACTAGCAATTGCAGCACTAGTTAGCACTCCTGTAATAAATGTGACACATTTATTCATATTATAAACGTTATAATTTCAGCACGATGCTACAATTACCGTTGTCGTTATTTTACTGGTTTCTGCTGACGAGGTGGCACCGGACGGCACCACAGGCTTCATTAAGGACAGCTTGGGATTGGGATTCATGTCCAGCGACACTGACTTGCCCACCAGACCGCCGGGTGTCCCCACACTCCCCACCGATCCAACAATAGTCTGGGTCGGCTGGATGCTTTGTATAGTACTCTGCACCACGCTCTGCACGCTCTGCAGAGTGTTCTGCAGGGTGCTCTGCACACTCTGTACATTCTGTTGCATTGTAGTTAAGTTCTGCGCCACGGTCTGCACAGTCGTCTCCGGCAGACGCTTGTCGCCGCCGCTACTCACGGTGCTCATTGTAGTGTTCATGGTTGCGCTGCCGAAACAAAACAGGCGACGAATTAATTACACCCCGGTCGTACGTAGGACCGGATCGAGAAAGCGAGGAATCGGCGCCAGGTCTATTGGCGACAGGCGAAGGTGTTTTTTTTGCGCGGGAGTTGACCAGCGAGCGGCTCGAGACACGTCGCGCTCCAGGTAGACCGAGCCATCTGCGTGACGTCGGTCCAGGTTGTGGTTTTATGTCAGAAGGACGCATCTCGGTCCCGGGTGATCAAACAACGTTGGAGGTTACGCCGCCTCGATGATGTCCGCGCGGGAGAAGACCTGGGGGAGCCGCCGCATCGTCGACCTCGCGTCTTCCCAAGGTGAAGGGGAAAGAGCCGGGACCGTTCTCCTTCTCACTTCCTGCGACTCCCGTGTCTCGAGCGGCCCACAAGCGGTCAACTGTCCCCCGCGTATAGCGTCGTCGTCGCGAGTTATGTGGCGTACCTGCGTAGAAATCCCAGCCCGGAGTAACCACGTTGAATCACTCGCAGACCCGCGCACAGCACTTCTCGCACATTCGGGCTTCTCTGACGCTCGTAACGAAGGACAACACATACCAGTGCCTGTGCAACGCTCCGAGCATCGCTACGTTTACGGCGCGCAGTGCACCAATGTAGAATGTAGGTATGTAGGTACGGTATACAGTGCGGGAAGGCGACTTTTGACGTGAGCGCAAAATGTTCCACTTATTGCGCGTACGTCCGCATAGGAATTTTCTTCCCGACGAAGACGCTGATCCGAATGGCGACCAATCAGCTGCCAGCTGCAAAATTAAATTCGGTTAGCTTGGTTATGTTTCCGAGGCGAATAGCAATTTGTAATTGTCGGGGAAGAGAAAAAAGAAGATACCTCGGCGGCCGTTGCGATGTTTTGCGACCTGATGCGACCTTATCGTCGATTATTCTCCGTTGCGTTTTCCTGGTGCCCTCAGCAGTTGCCCTACGGCCAGAAGTCGCGCGAACACCCTCCAGCTCCGCCCCTGGTACTTTCCCCCGGTCGGGCACTCGTCCACGAGAATCGGCTTCGAAACTCCGGACCTAAATTTTTGTCAACAATTTAGCTTACTTTGTAAAATTTCGGGTAAGGTGTATGGATTTCTAATGACATTTTGTGTGATTTTCCGCAGATGTGCATAGCGTCAAACGCCTTCGATCAAGACGCCAAACGCCAAACAAAACAAAACGAAAGGTTCGTACCCCGCGTCATGGTATAATAGGCCCCATAGGTATTCATAGGTATATGGTATTCATGCCCCGCGTTCCTCTAATCAGAGTTGCCAACTTGGCAGTTGGCGGTTCTGGCAAAATTCTGCGGGGGGAAAAAGAGCCATCTTTAAATGACGCATGCGCATGACGGTGCTGCGTATATACGAAAACAACATCCGAAGTCCGAATTATCATTCGAATTTTGAAGAATATAATTGTGCAGAATGGGTGGCTGTGCGGCGCCTTTTTGCAATAATTCTTCAAGAAAGGGATATATCATGAAAGTGTTTCCCAGAGACCCGCAGCGTCGGGCTCTATGGGAGCGAAACGTTCCACGCGAAAATTGGACGGCGACGAATAATTCGTGCCTCTGCGAGGTTAGTTTCCAATTTTATTGCGCATATAAAATACAAAAAAAAAATGTTTATAAACTGCAATAGTAATGTGCATTTTCCATTTATACAGATGCATTTTGCCCCAGAAATGTGGGAACGCAGACGCGACGGGAAGCGAAA